TAACAAAAACCACTTTATAACTTCTGTTTGCTACAGGTGCGATATTTTTGATGCCTCTATATGTCGAGAGTTAGCTTGCTAGCCCTCTATTCGTCAGTTTTACTTCAAACTGATTAAGTTCGGGTGTAAGGGCGTGTATGACTTACCCTCTCTCTGCGGTCGTAATTAAAATACCTGGACATTGGATAAAGTCCTTTTTCTGCTAACGTTTAGTCTCTCGGTGGACACCAGAGTTTCAAATTGGATACCCAGAATCACGCCCACGGATTTTTAATGGTGCTGGTGTGTCTGACCCTTTTAATGCCCCCTTCGAAGAGTGACATCTGTTATACATATCTACCCCTGAGGAGATTAAGGCTACATCTCACTTAGTACGACGTGTGAGGTACACCTAACGGTATTTACACACAAAAATAGACACAGAAACATGAACGCACAGACTTTCTTAAAGGTTCGGGACTCACTTTGTGCACCGTCACTAAAAGCTTCACACATCTGGCTTGCTGAAGTTTTACATCAACTTCAGTGCTGAGTATCTCGGCATAAGCAACAGCTTGTCGGTTAAAGTTGGGCTTTTAATTTTCTGTGCTAAACATAAAATATTTGGGCTTCAAATCTGCAAAAGATGAAGAAGGCGCATTCAGAGAGGGGGACAATAGTAAGTGAGAGGTAATTGCACCCTGTTAAATACAAAATTCTGTAGTCCACTGTCCCGATTATCCACCTTACCACATCAACACGCTTAAGCGCAGAACACCCTCTAATGGATCACATGGGATGTTGTATGATATAAGGATTGTGAATCGACACATAAACAAAATTACAAAATAGGCAATTGTGCTTTATGTGCATTACAGCAGCAAGAAATAAAAGAATGCGCAACAAGATTAGAGTCTTTACAGTTGACTCAGTTCGTAGCTGCTATAATCTACCACTCGTCATTTTTCTGATTCTTTATCTCCTTAGTATAGCTTTTCGAAATCGATGTCGCGTTTACAAGCCATTTTAGTTACGCTGAGATTGTATCTCTGCTTTCTTAAATTGCAGCATCCACAGGGTATCCTTGAAGTTACGACGGGTGAACAGGTTCAGGGCATTTTCTGTGTCGTGCCATCTTTATACGCCGTCTTTTCATATCGAAGATGTCACCGAGCTCCTCCTTTGGAATTTTCTCGGTTCTCCAGTGATAATTTCAGGAATCATGCACGTTTTCATCAGGTCATGACTGGAATCACGCGTCCTCTCATCCTCGCATTGTAGCACTGTATCATGTCTGGCAGGTATCCCCGCGTCTCCATTCCATGCATTTCCTTTCCAGGGATCGTCTTGTATTTTTGGTTCCCATTACTCGCTGTTTCTATCGTCAGGTGTCTTTGATCGATATTAAAAACTCACCAAATTTATCTCATAATTGTCCTAATTTTAGTCATCTGATTGAATGTCAAAACCTGATTCGAATTCTTGCGTCATTTAAATATATAAGATAGTGAGTTTGTTTGCATGATTTTATCAATTACATCATCACTAGCACACACACCGAGCTCTCTTTACTGAAATCGAGCGTGTCACGGATGACATCGGTAAAATATCTATTCTTTGTCTCCAAAATCACTGACTTGACATCGAGTAGATCAAAATCAGTACTAATAATCTCAGAGTCAATCAAAATCGATTCACAATCCGATAAAATGCTTTCGTTATTGCAACCAGATCCCATACTGCCCTCACTTTTTTATCGTAACACGACAACCAATTCAATACCACTACATCATATCATTTTAAATATTAATCACCGTACGCGATATCCATAGGATTGAAGCATCGTCAAGTGTTGAACCACATACTCTGCTGCGAGACTGAGCTTTCACTCCTGCTTGTCCTTCCATGTACCCCGAAAGAAAAGAAAAATCTGCGTTTAGCATCCCGTTTCTTCTAGATACACCGTTTTGACTGATTAACTTGGGCGATACTTTTAGACTTCTTGATCCCACTAAAGTACTCCATCTTTAAATCAACATCTCGTATCGATAACTCCAATAGGTGATGCCATATATGCTTTCGAATTGTTCGTCAAGACCTCATCGTCAACGAATTGCATGAGAAACCCCATTACTTCATGCTTGCAATATGCGTAAGTTGTGTTGGAGGCAAATGCCGAACTAAGTATATTTAAGGTCCTTGTTTCGCTATCACGAGCTGTCTCTAAGCCTTTATGTCACGCTTTTTCTAAGTCAATCTTCTGAAACTAGCATAACTTCCTGATAATTTATTTCATGAATCATCATCCTAACACCATGAATCGTACTTGTTCAGCGGTGTAATATCAACTAATTTAAAGCCGACGCTCGGTGCTTCGTAGCCGAATAAGTAAGAAAGATGTGGAGTCATTTGCGATGTAGCACCTGTTTGTGTAATTGTCGTGGACGAGGAACGACCGAAAATATGACTGTCGATCAGTCATATTTTCGGTCGTTCCTCGTCCACGACAATTACACAAACATTACTGTCATCGCCTCTAAGCTCCGTGGTTATGCCTTACTCACTTTCACTTAAAACAACCGCCATTCTTCCTTAGGGCATTCCTCTTGTGATCGTGTCCTCGACCACCTTTGAACTTTTTATGGATTCCATCGGCTCGGAACGTCTTTTCCACGCTGCTATCCTTATTTTCCAGCACTCCTGCTCCTTGATCAACTTATCGTTTACCTCAACTAGGGACACGTCCTTAGCTTCTCTACGCCTAAGACAACCGTACCATACTCGGAGAAAATACTGCTACGCAAATCTCTAACTTCCTGCCTCATCAACGGACTCTTCTAGCGTCTGTAATATGATGGCTAGATCGACAGATTCATCCAGATGCTTGGTATGCTTGGCCGTAGACGTTTTGTCTATCCAGAACTCGTGAAGACGACGTGTCATGGTGACCCGGTCGTGGAGAAAACAACGATTGTAGAATTCTTGTAGCGCTCTCCAAGCATACACGGCACTTGTTCACAAACGTGGTGAGGTGTGCAAGTTACATGCCTTGTGCAATGAACTGAGCATCGTTGCGTCACTAACGATCCACTCATCGGGCGTACGACCTCAACATGCTATCGAAGTCTTTCGTGCTAGACTCATGCGCGTGTTATACTTCCACATAAAGTAATAATTGATCCTTTGAAAGGCATCGGTGTCTTTTGTTGAGAGATTCGTATTGCAGCTACGGATCCCCAATCTCTCAAGTTGCAATGAGTGGTGTTGAATGAATATCCGAAGTAACCAATTTAAAGTTATCAAAACTACTCTCCCTAGCACGTATTTTTAAGCCTAGCTGTTCACCACTTATGATCTTCCGACCACCGATATATATTCTTATGATGCTAAGAGGAACTGTTGAGAAGAGGACAAATTCCGAAGTGAACATGTTTGTTAGGTTCTTAGTTCGCTCACTTATGCTACCTCTAAGCCTACATCCATCCACTCTGATTTTCCTTAATTATGAATCTGCTTCATACACGATCGTTACCGTCGTCCGCTATTGACGTCCGTTATTGTCATCCGTTACCGACGTCCGTTACCATGATGCTTGTCGCAGATTTCAAGACTCCCGTCATGTCATCAGCCTTCTAAAACATGTATTGAGCGGCGTTTTCTTTAGCAGGTGTCATCTCAACAGGAACTTTACTGCAGTCCGTCGTCTCACGTGAGCTTTGCAACTCTGCGCTCTTTAGCATTTTTTATCATTGCGCAAATCGTAGCAACTTCTACGGATGTTGCTTTATTTCCAGACGTTCCCGCTGTACCATGAGATGGCGGTGTGTCTCGTACGAAATTCTAATATTACCATCAACTGTATTGCGGTATGCTTAAGCAATCACTGAAACTTTTCAGATTAGGTTTCTTAGTTGGCAGTCAGCCCATCCTTTTCATGATGACGTTCCTACTCTGCCTAACTAGAGCAATTGGGACAGCGCACACGGCAGCATGGGCGGTGCCTTCAAATCGGCCCCTCACGAGGCCATACTTTTGTGCGCACACTGTATTTTCGACTGGTTGCACAACCATCTTTGACAAGTTCATGTCATCGTACCAAGTGTTCAATCCAGGCTAAGTCCAACAGCGCTCGTCACAGTAACAGGCGCATGATCTGCTGGAAAGAGCGCCGGAACCAACGCCTGGTACAAAATACGTTGACTTGTTAATGAAATGTTATGTACGGTCTGAAATGCATTTTGCCGTTGCACAGGCGATATTATGGTCCGCGTGGGACGCAGTGCTGAGGGTTTTGATCGAATCATGCGATCGTCAACCATAACTAATACTTAAACTACAACACCGCACCAAAAGTAAGTGCGGTTTCGAACACGCCGAGATATAGATATAAAGATGGGGCGAGGGGAGGGAGAGAGAGCTCAATTTACTTCTCAAGCTACCTAGCACAGTGCATGACATCGCAGTCAGACAGGATGTACAGTTTAGCCTTCCCGAACATTCATGTATTAAGCGGATCCGTTCCCTATTCATGCTTCTGGGTATATAGACGCAGTCCCTGCTTGATTGGTCAGAAAAGGCATCATAAGATCGAGGCTATTTTCCATCACGTGATAAATGTCCAAATTGTTGCAATCCATACAGCAGTTCAACTGAGCAGATCCACCGTTCTAGCTGCCAGAAGTCGACATTCAAATCATCACTGCATACAAAGGTACCAGTTTATCGAGTGATGGTTTACCCGTCCTTGTTTCCATTCGTCATTCCGAAAGACACGGTTAAAAAGCTTCGACGTGACAGCTGTAAAATGACCGCTTCGCATAAAAATGCACTGAAATTAATGCACCACCACAAAGGCGCACGACATCGCGTTCGAAACCTCGACGTAGCAAACAAAGAAGAGATATCGAGCACACGGTGGTCCTATCAAATATCGATTTATAAGATGCAACAGTACCGAATCGACGATGAAACTTACGACACATACATACACCCCAAAACCCGCATAGGCCTTCTTGGACCGGCTACACATAAGTGATGCTACTTGGCAAGAAATTGCAGATCCTCCCCAGCAGACCCGACTTGCTCGAACACGCGGTGACCCTCTTGCCCTTAATCTTGATGTTCCCAACCGTTGCCTTGTCGCCCTTGTTTGCCGTCAAGATACTCACGCGACCGTTGACGGCGAACACGTTCTTAATGCTAATGCTGACACCTTTGCTGCCACAGTCGCCGCATGAGCGGTAAAATTGACCAAAGCCCTCCACATAAAAGCCCTCAATGTAAATGGAACCATAGCCGTTATGCTGCACCACCTTGTCGGGAGCCGAGCGCGCACCGCCTCCAATCACCTTTGTCACGCTGCCGTTTGAACCACCCTTGATACTCAGCGCGTCCTCGCACACGTCATCCCACCACACGTTCTTGAACAGGCAATCGCCGTTCTCGCAGTGCACGCCCTCCATTTGATCCGTACCGATGATCACGTTTTCGAGTGTACCGCCAGGCTGGACGACAAAGACAGAATTTTTCCAGTTGCTCTCTGTCTCACCATTGCACTTGACGTTTGAGCGTTGGAATGTCTTCATTTCGCCATCAAAAACCTCGCCTCTCTTGACCGTGTAGGGCTCTGCGAAGTATACATCGCCCTGACTAGCAGGCCACGACCCATTTGGCATGGGGGCCTCTTCATCAAGCATGGAAGCAGCCGAAGTCACGGAAGTGGTCGTGGCAAGCACAAGTGCGACGAATGAAATTGCATGGATCATATTTGGTAGACAGTTTTTGCCGAGCTGCAAAAGACGTTCGTGTCGGTCGGTTGTTTGCTGAGAAGAGCGTGAGTTGAGAAATGAGTGCTGAGTGTGCGGTAGTTCTCCGTGACCGCTGCCAGAGCTCCAGACCATGCTGAAAGGTACCTTAAACAGCCGCGCGGATCTGAAGAATGGATGACCACCACCATCGTTCAGGCTTAAGCGATCGAGTACGTTCCAAATTAACAGCTGCCGACAAACGCGCAATATGCTGCACTTCTACGCATACATCTGTGAGATTCGACAAGGGGTCGATAGAGCACCAAGTACATATGAACCACACATATCGGTAGCTTCCTTGCACACAATATGCTGTCAGATGCTAGCCTATGGCGTTGTCAATGAATTGAGAACCATTCGTAATTCAACCGGTCCGACGCTGGATGTAAGAGTCGCGTCAGCGTAGCGGAAGACGGGATGGGATGGAATCGCATGGATGCTTGCACCTTTTGCCACGTTTCGGTACGTTGAAGCACGCACTTGTTGATCCTGGGGGTGAACGCAGTATACCCTCTACTCGTACCTGTGGCATTTCATTCGCGACTTGGATGGGCACAAAAAGCAGGTGGTACCTACAATAGCACAGTCGCGAGGTTGCGCCATGCAGAAAGGGGAGCACGTCATCCTGTACCCTACGAACGCTTACATCTGTTGTGTCGTGCCTTTGTTGCAAAACGCATGTCTATAACCTCAGGCCATTGCGAGAGGTACACGTTCCTTTTTATTTTACGTACTCGGTTTTTCACTGAGCTTCTGCGTAATACACACTACGGGTAAATGTAGATGCGATCATGTACCAGAGCGGCTGCTAGACTTAGCCTCTGACCTGGTTTTGTTATTTCGTGAGTCACTTGCGAACATCGCAGCCTTCGGTTAGTTGCTTGTTTCGAATAGAGCGAAAATCACGAACGATGAGCACCGCAGCTGGATTGGATGCAGAGTGAGCGGGTACGTAGAGCCAAAAGACATTCGTGAGTCAGTTGGAAAGCCTCGTAGTGCGTGTATAGTATTCACGGCTTACAACCGCATTATTGGGTGGGTACTCGTCAGTTGCGACGATCACTTTGTGTGTGAAAAACAAGCGTGGGTAGTACTCGTAGCTGGCTCGCGTTTTTTTGGCTCACTCGGGCCACAAGTTTGTCAGCACGAGTGCACCCGTCGCCTGATCGTATTCGGTACTGTCGACTTGAGCGCTGGTACGTCACCATACAAACAGTTTTGTCAGTTTGTCCGCACACTGGACTTTCGCCATTCGCGGTGCTTGGTCTGTAGATTACGATTACAGTCGAACGAATGTTGTTGCGAGTGAATGCACGCGTGTAAAGTAGAAGGCTATAGTACAGTCGAGTGTAAGCACGTGTCAGCTATCGAATCTTATCGATAACGACACGGTGCAAAGGCATGTCGTGCAATTGCACGATCCGCAGCATGTACTAGCACTTTCCATTGTTTAGTTCGGTGACGCATTTTTGTATCAAGTCACGTTGCATGCGATCTTAACATGGAATAATGAGTGACGGATAGTGTTCCTCTTTGCTAAACGACTACAGTATGCGCGTACAAACCGAAGACCAAGTTACATAATCTGGGCCTTCTTGGCGAAGTTTTCTCCTGTTAGGTCCGACTACTCAGGGCCATGTGCATTGTTAGACGCACGGTCATTGGAAAAACTGCTTGTGCATAGGATGTATGAGCAAGGAATTGTGTGCACTGTAGCTCTTCTATCGTGCCTTCAAGTCACAGAAGGGGACTCGGACACACGCACTCAGAAGTACACAGTTCTGAAACAGTTTTAGAATTTCGGCTTTCATCGAAATTTATGGAAGACCTACCTGAAAAACGAGCCAAGATGTTGTCAAACTTTTTGTTTCTGCATCACCAAAGATGCCGGAATATTCTGTTTTGCTAGAAAAAGAACATATCGTTCTTAACCGAGCAGATTCTATTCGTTGCGTGTCAAAATTGTTTCGAGCAATTTCTTCTATTAAACAAAGATCTGACGGATAATCCGTATGTAAGATAAGTCCTTTTTGTCTGCTGTGTCAATGTTTGAACGCGAAGTCGGCACGTCTTCGTGAACGAGTGCGGTAGCGCTCTTCATGTCAAGCGGTCATTTCAAGGCTTTTTTGACCATGTTTCTTGCAAAGGGAGGATACAATAGAATGGCTCGGACGATATCAATCCTAAGGACTGGCTCGTGCTCTTCAAATTTTCGGATCGAGCACCTTCGACAGCTTACGCGTGGCTACTACACATCATACCATGCATGAGTACCCTCGGTTTCGATTGCTTTTGTTTAAGAGTAAGCCTGTCCCTACAGAGTAAATATCGTGATGAGCGAACGTCCAAGTCGATTTTACATTCCAAAGTCCAGGATAATGGTGTGATAACAAAGAGGTTGCTGGTACAGTCGTAATTCGGTGCAGTACTGAGCCATGGGGGAGTACAAGACCAAATGCTGTAAGCAGCGCGTGTAAATCAGGCAGTTCTCATGTGCTCACCGGATTCCTTACCTTTACGCAAGCACACCTAGTTTCTGATTTTATGTATGTGGTGCATGGACCAGCGACATTTATTTGCTTCACAATGTCGTGGCGACGCTGTCGGTATTTGCAGGAAAGGATCCAGCGTGTGCACGTATGCTTAAATCGCTGGTAGCCAGAATGAACCGTAACGGCGCCTGAATACCGACAACAAGCACTACCTCCTGTGCAGATTGCGCTTGCTGATCACGATAAATCGTCGTTGCCCCAACGATGATCGACCTAAGATTACATTCGAGTACTGCATTCTACGGCCGTTCGTGCATCACGTGACGTTCAACTTGTTCACGTGCACGGTACGCGGCCTACAACTCTACATCCAAGCCGGCTGCTATGTCCGCTGTTCGCGTCCCCCGCTCGGTTCGAAAGAAGCTTAATGAACTTATTCAAAGTTATTTGAGAACGGCTGCAATGACCTCGAGCTACATATGAAGCAAAACACGTTGAGATTGTAAGCTCCGGTCACCCTGCTACATATGCCGCATTGCAAGGATACGTACTTTACAGCGAGTGCGTGTGTTATTACAGTGTGCTAGGTTTCCGTCCGTTATGAAAGCACGAGCACCTCCACTGTGCAGTTGATCTGTGGATGTACGTATGAGATTACACAACAAACGCACGGCACAACAGAGAAAACCATCTTCATTACATTGGGTGTACGACCAACAGATGCAGTGTTTGTAGTGCACATGGTGACACTTGCGCTTTTCCACTCGGAGCAACCTCTCGATCGTGCACTGTAGACAACACCTGCTTCGTGTCCCTCCAGGTCGCAGATGAAAATTCTTCCACGGCGCACGGGGTTCTAACTGTTTGCAGATCGTTTCGGACAAGCCCGTGGTTCGACACACCAAAACATAGCATACGACCTTAGACATTGATGCGCTAAAGCCAATACTGCCAAGTCCGATGCTACTATAGCGAGCGTCAATTCATCCACGGTGTCATTAGCTAGCATCTGGTAATGCTATAGAAGGTGTCATTAGCTAGCATCTGGTAAAAGCTATACAAGCTGCTACCGATGTGTGTGGTCATCTCTGTGCTTGCCGACCCTATCGACTCCTTGTAGAATCTCTCCGAGGTATTCATATATCAGCTGTAGGTTGCGCGTCTGTCATGAGCTGGTCATTGCAAGTGTACACGACGGCAAGACCTAAATGGTGGTGGTGGCTCTACATTCTTGGCATCGCTTGACTGTTCGATGAACGCTCTAGCTGGACCCGGAAGCTCTGGCAGCGTTCACCGAAAATCAACCGCACACTCATCACTCATTACTCAATCCACGCTCTTCGCAGCAAACGACCGACCGACCGACCGCGAACGTCCTTTGCAACTGAGCAATACTTTACTGCAAACCATGGTCAATACCATCTCATTCGCCGCGCTTGTGTTTGCCACGACTGCCGCCGTGACTTCGGGAGCTTCCATGCGAGCCGAGGCAGCTCCAATGCCGGATGGCTCATGGCCCACTAGTCAGGGCAATGAATACCTCTCAGCGCCCTACACGGTCAAGAGAGGCGAGGTCTTCGATGGAAAGATGAAGACGTTCCAGCGGTCAAACGTCAAGTGCCGTGGACAGGCGGAGAGTGGATGGCAAACTGCCGTGTTCGTTATCCAGGCCGGCGGTACACTCAAGAACGTGATCATCGGTACGGATCAAATGGAGGGGGTGCACTGCGAGCATGGTGATTGCCTTGTCCAGAACGTGTGGTGGAATGACGTGTGCGAGGATGCGCTGAGCATCAAGGGCGGCTCTGCAAGCAGCATGACAAGAGTGGTTGGTGGCGGTGCACGCTCGGCCGCTGACAAAGTGGTGCAGCACAACGGATACGGATCCGTGTCCATTGAGGGCTTCTACGTGCAGGACTTTGGAAAGCTCTTCCGCTCATGCGGGACGTGTGGCGACAAGGGTGTCAGCATCAGCATCAAGAACGTATTTGCCGTCAATGGTCGCGTGAGTATCCTGACAAAGAACAAGAGTGACCGTGCCACAATTGAGAACATCAAGATCAAGGGCAAGAAGGTCGACGTGTGTTCTTGGTCGGATGGAACGGGGGCTGGAGGTGAGCCGAGAAAGTCTGGTGTGGGCCCGTCGGGAAGTGGCTGCAGCTACTCACCTAATACCATCACCTATGTGTGATAGAATGTGCTAGTATGGGGTGTGTATGTCGTACGCGTTGTTGTGGTGGTTGCTGTAGTGCTGTTGTAGTGTCGTTGTAGTTTTGCATCATATTGAATAAAGATCTGACGGATAATCCGTATGCTCGATAAGTTCTTTTTGTCTGCTGTGTCAATGTTTGAACGCGAAGTCGGCACGTCTTCGTGAACGAGTGCGGTAGCGCTCTT